TGGGTACCAGGAGGAAACGACCCAGTGAAGCCAGGTGGGCGGCGCAGCCAGATCTCCTCGTGCACAGTACAAGGTTTGTATAGGCAACACCTAACAATACTGTACCCCATAAGGAGTGCCCCACTACAGCCTACAATATAGTTCTGACAATTTCAGTATAACCTATTTTGCCACACTGACCATTTTGCGTGTTGCCGCACAAGTAACACTGACGAATCAGTATAGTGTACCGAGTCACACTGATTCGGACATGACATGGTATGGGTGTACAGGGGGTGTTCAACCCGGGATTCCCGCAAAAAGAACTCGCAGCCCACTCAAGTAGCTCCCGTCTTCGGGAATCGAACCCGAGCCCTACGCGATTACAAGTAACAACCCAAACAATTACGCCAGTAGCACCATTCGCAGTGTGCAATGATCAGGGCCTCAGATTCGTTTTGGCGTAGGCTGACTGGTCCACCTTAGGGATGAGTTCATGGCTGAACGGTCAGTGGAGGTGTAAAAAAAAAAACTGATTTTTCGGGGTGTCTAGGAGAAAAAAAGCTGAACGATCAGCGTCATTTTGCGGTAAAGTCTGAACCACTCATAGCAAGCAAGACAATCATTTAACTATCCAGATCATCATCATCCTCATCATCCTCTTCATCCTCACTATCACTAGATCCTACAGCTTCTACAGCATGGGGTTCATCTACTTCCATAGCTGTCGCTTTCCCCTTCTTGCTGGTTTCACCTGGGGTGGAAATTGCGGCATTAGAAAATGGCTTCCTCTTCTTGTAGCTTCTCCAGATCTCGACCACCTCGTCGTACCGTGGCTCGTACGGCATCAGAGACATGCACATCAAGTCGCCCAGCCTTGCATCTTTGAGGCTGCTCTGCTGCCAAGTCTTGATCACGTTCTGGCGAGAGAAGCCCCTTTCGCACTCCACAGTGCTAAGGGGAATCACCGCCACGGCTACCCACAGCTGCACCAGGTTGGGGTAACTCTCCCGCCAGTCAGGAGTCTTCAGAATCGCGATGAGGCCATCGTGGAAAGACCTCTCCCCCTTCGATGCAGAGGCACGGACGGAGCAGAACAGTCGCAGCTCTTTGTGGGCCTGCCGCTTCTTGATACCTGGCAGTGCAACAACTCAAGTGGTTGGGGAGGAAACAATGCAAGACAGGGCTTAGTGATGACTTATGCAAAAGGGAAGGAGGTGTGGCAGTAAAGAGAAACAATACGGTGGCATTGAAACAAACAAAAAACCATAACACAACTCCACCTGGCAGTATGTCTTCTGCCTCTTCTGCCTTGAACAGCGTCACCAGCGAATGCAGCCACTCAACGCATCGTGCGTGACGCTCCAACTTGCTCTTCGGCCACTCATCCGGCAGGAACAGTCGGACTCCCGACAACGAGTCCAAGTCACTCAGCCGACTCTCCAGGTTCGCCACGATGCGTTCGGCGAAGTCGGTGCAGGCCTCAACGCAGGCGTCGTGATTACAGGGGCCTTCGTAGCCTTTGACCTTGTCTTCATGGAGCTTGAACTTGAATGTTGTTGGTCGCCCATCGGAGTCGGGCCCCTCCACTGTCACTTCGCGGTCCTTTCCGGGGCCGTAACGCTCGATGAAGGGCGACAACCAGCGGCTGAAGCCTCCACCAAAGTCGTCCCCACTGTCTACATATCGGCTCTCAATATGCGTCGTCGTGCGCTTGATCAGACCGTGCAGTGAGACAAGGTCCAGCTGCAAGCATCGGTCAGGAAAGGAAGAAAGCCGCGTGTACCAACAATGAATAAAAAGTGGAGGCATAGAAATACACACACAAACATTTACCTGGCACTGCTGGAATGTCTTGTTCAGGATGTTCAACTGCTCAAGCACATCAGCAAGAAAATACATGAAGAAGTGGAAACGGTAGGTAGTGGCGAGCAAATACATGGCGGAATGGAACTCCTGCAAGAACACGATGACAGCAGGCCACACTGCCAGGATGCGAAGCAACGCATCCCCCCGAGAGAGCCACCGGACGTGATGTATCCCCTGGACTTCCAGGCTGGTCTCGGTGAAGAGCTCCTGGAGGTCCATGAAGCGCTGGTGTTTCGGGCCGGAACGGCCCAGCAGGTCCGACACCACGCGGATTAGGTCGTCTACCATGTTGAAGACTGGTAGATCTTCGGCCGCATCCTTAGCGGCTAGGGCTTCCCTGCATTAAACGTGATAAGAAGAATCAGTACACCGCACAGAAAAAGAAACGAATTAACGCTGTCAATTCAAAATGGCACTAGCCTGTGGGCGATGCAGTGACACGAGACGAGGTGGGGAATCCGCTCTCGCAGGCGAGACAACAGAAGGCTCAAGAGGGTCGAGGCGTCAGCTTTCTCGACGGTGATCAGTTGCATGAACTCTGTCACCACGATAGAATCCCGAACGAAGGTGGCGTAAAGAATAAGATGCTTCCCCCGGACGCGGTCTGTGCTTTCGTCGATGGCGATGCCGATGAAGGGGCTTGTGAGTATATGCTCCAGCTGGGTCGTCTGTAGCCAGGTTGCCATTGACTGCGTCAGTTCGCCGTAGCCGTACCTGCCAGAATACAAGGCATACATCATTAGTGACTCCGCGTCTGTATGTAAAACAAAGTAAACAGCAACGGTTAATACTACTCACGTGGTATAGTACGTCCCATAGCCTTTCTTAGGGAAACCTTGAACCACTTTCTGGGCAAGATACTGCACCAGCTTCACCCATGTCCCCATGGGTGCGTCGCAGTCACTGACGAACAGAAACGCCTCAAGCAGTGACATGACCCGGATCTTCTCTGCATCGACCGCTGCACGGTGCTCGTCGATGCGGAGCTGTTTAGACGTGGCAACAAGCAGGGCCTCTTGCTTCTCCAGTGCCAGCTTGTGTTTTCTCGTCCTGGCGTGCTTGCAAAAGGCCTGCGTCTGGACGTCGGTAGCACCTTTGCCTATCCTGCCACAACGTCCCCTGACACCGGCGTGCTTAGTGCAGAGACTGCATTTGAAAGCAGGCAGACCACGAACAGTTTTGGTAAGTACAAGCCATGGGAAACGCTCATGCCACTTGGTTTTGTACTTATCCAGTGCCTCGGCATATATGGCATCAACAATATCATGAACGTTGATGTCCAGAGAAGGGCGCACGGTGGTTTCATTGACAACAGCTTCCGAGACTGGGACGCTGGATGATGGCTTCCAGAAACTCAGCTTCTGTTGCTTGAGCTTGATTGTGCGCGGTGCTGATGACTTCGACGTCGACGTGCCGTTGTGAACGGTGTCGGAAACACCAGGCGGCGCGGGAGGGATGGCCCGGATTGAATCCGGGCTTGAAGGCACGTCCGGGTTCTCCGCCACTATAGGAACCGGACCGGGTGCAGTGGGCGCTGGAGGTGGTAGTTGGCGGCCTAAAGATCTTAGCAGAAGATCTAGCCCCGTACGGGCTTCTTCGATGGCGTCGCTATCGGCGTCGTCTAAATCGGCGTCACCCTCGTCGTCTAAAAGGCCGGCGCCATGGCCAGCCATGGCGGAACAGTTACGAGAGCGAGCCGAGCACTGAGAGAGCATGCACAGCACTGAGAGAGCGTGCCGAGAAAGCGCTGGTGCTAGAGGCGAAACAAGTGAAACCCTAGCGAGGTTGGGTGTGGGACGGGGGATTCCAGCAGCTACCTGGGGTTATGCAAGAAGGAGTTGGTGATGGTGAAGCGGGATTGGTTGGCAAGCTTACCGTGCCATGATGCAAGGCGACGCGACCCATGGAATCATGCAGGAACCTGGTTGCAGCTTCGGGGTGGGTGAGGTGGGGGGGTTTCCTAGTCGCGCGGCAACCATTTTGTGTTGCTGTACTGCTGTAACGTGCGTGCGTGGTGCCGCGCTGTTGACATTCCATTCGCCACTGGTTGATGTGATCGCACTAACATCCAATCACGGGCGAAGATGCCTTTGCGACCTGACAGCAGTGGTGTGAAAGTTCGGGAATGAACCATTCCCGGATTCGTTGGCAAGGAATCTTGCCATTTCGGCGTGATTGACGGAGGGACGGTCGAACAGCTGTATCTAGACATCCGGAATTCAGGGCCTAAACCCGAATCTCCATTACAGGGATTTCAGCCCAGCCCTCCGATACAAGTCTGATGAGACAGCGCACACGACAGGAAAAAAACTGATATTTCAGCACAGACAATAAAAAAAAAACTGAAATTACAGCATACACACAAAAAAAGCTGTCACAACAGCCCAACGTCTCCCCAAACGGCTGAAATCATAGGCTTTTTACCCCTAATCAGCCTTTTTTTGCTGACTTCTGAGGGCCTGGCAATGATAGTTTTAACGCTGATTTTTCAGTTTGCCTTAAAAATCCACACTGGAAAAATCAGCATAAATTTAACCCCCAACACTGATTTCGTTTAAAGTTTAAAGTTATATATTGGTCTTAACCAATTCCAACGCTGATTTGGACACAACTTTGGACACTGCACACTGATCGATCAGCATGCCCTGAAACCAATGTGAGGGTTGCAAAATGCTGTTAGAAGTGTCAATGTCCAGCGTCCAATGGTCTAGTCAGTACATTCGGGAGTAAGAAGATTTAGATTTCGGGTTCGAATCTTGTCGCCTGATTCTGTCAGGCAGGTGCGGTCATCCTTCTGGTCTGCTTATATTTTGCCTCAATACTTATGACGAGAAAATACTCAATGTCTGCAGTCTCAGACAAACTGTATGAGGCTGTCTTAAAAATCAGATGAATAGAATTAGCTTCTCTGAAAAATCAGATGAAATTAAACAACATGTCTACGACATCAGATGAACCAGTAAAAACGTGTTCAGAATCCAGAAATTCAGACAGAAAATTTATGATAACGTAGGCCCTGATTGTGATTGTAACATGTACAGCTTACAAACACCACGCGAGGAATTCCGAAACACTAGCTACCGTAGCATACTCAAAGCAGCATAACCGTGTCACGGGTAAATTGGCAGAACAAGGTTAGGGCAGGATTGTGGTCAGAGCAGGGACCCGGAAGCAGGCCCTCCAGGCCTGTAACCCGGCATGGCACCTGGCATGCCCATGGCACCAGGCATGGCCCCTCCCATGGGCATTCCTCCCTGCGGGGCCCCAGGCATCCCCCCCACGTGCATGGGCATCTGCCCCCCCATGCCCATGCCACCCGGCCCCATGCCGCCTGGGCCCATGCCGCCCGGCCCCATGCCGCCTGGGCCCATGCCGCCCGGCCCCATGCCGCCCGGCCCCATGCCACCCGGCATACCCATGCCGCCGCCCATCTGCATGGGAGGAGGCATGCCTGGCCCTGCCATCCCCATGGGTCCAGCCATGCCCATCCCAGGCCCCTGCATGGGCATGCCCCCATACGGCATGGGCGCCATGCCGGCAGCAGCAGGGGGAGGAGCACCCCCCGGAAGCACCATGTGAGGGGCAGCGGGCGAGGGGGCGAGGGCAGTGGGGCCAGGAGGGGAAGAAACAGCAGCAGCAGCAGGGGCACCGGACCAGGGCAGGGCGAGCATTGCGGCTCCCCCTTGCTGCTGCTGGGCGGCCACTGGGGGCGGCTGCAGCCAGGCCGGCGGCAGCTCACTGATGTTGTCGCTGATAAATTCCTTCAGCCTGGGGCGTGGGGCAGGCCGGGGGCACGCAGGAGAGGGCAGGGGGGGGGGAGGAAAGGGAAGGGGAGGGAAGGGGAGGCAAGGGAAGGGAAGGGGAGGGAAGGGGCAGGGAAGCACAGGGCAGGCACGCAGGTGAGCGTGGAGGGGTGGCAAAGGAGGCACAAATGAGATGGCAGGCAGTGAGAACAATGGGGTCAAGAAACAGCAGGTGGGGGGATGAGCAACACGATACAGACAGAAACAGTTAACCATCCTTTCCCATGCCCCACATACACCCCTCACCACCCCCAACCCCCCCTTCTCCACCTCTTCCCCTTCCCTGTCCCCTTCCCTCCCCCTCCCCCCCCCCCCCCCCCCCCCCCCCCCCCCACCCCATGTCTCCCCCCCGGGCAGGCCACGCACGCAGCGGAGGCGGTGGGGTCGGAGGAGGCGCAGGTGAGGCGCAGTTGCGAGCGGTCCGCTGGGTCCGTCTCCAGACGCGCCTGGGGTGGTGAGCGGTGATGGAGGGTGGTAGGGGGTGATGGGGGGCGATGTGGGGTGGTGGGGGTGGTGCGGGTGATGAGGGATAGTGTGAAGTTGGAAGATCTTAGTTGTTGTGTGATGCAACCATACGCATTCACGTTTGTCTGGCTCCCATCCTACGTAGTGTGAGCATGTGCTAAATTTTGTGTTTGGTGGGTCTGACATGCAGCCACTGGCATGCAGGCGCTGGGTCTGACCAGGTTGGGCAGTGGGTTGATGCGCATGGATGCCAGCAGCTGTGCCAGTGCCGGCAGCGGCAGCGCCTTCACTCCCCTCTGCTGGTGCGGGAAAGGGGCAGATGTGAGGGGCACATGAGGGGGGGGGGGATGTGTGAGCGAGTGGGTGAGTGTGGGAGTGATGTGAAGTGCTGTAAAGGGGATTATATTGAGTGAGTGAGAGGTGAGGAGGTGAGGGGTGAGTGAACCCAGCACCACCCCCCAGCACACATCACAGCAGAGGACAGCAATGCGGGCCGCAGCGCCTTTTGAGGCGACTCAAAGGGCAGCAATACACCCCACCAACCTCCACCACCCAGCACCACCTCCCAACACACAGCAGCACGCACCACGACTTGCTGTTTGTGCGGCGGAGCAGAGAGGGTCTTCCAGCGAGCAAAGAAGTCGGCAGAGGACAGCGACGCGGGCAGCAGCGCCCTTTGAGGCGACTCAAAGGGCAGCAGTACACCCCACCACCCCCCACCACCCAGCACCCAGCACCACCCCCCAGCACAGCACACAGCAGCACGCACCACAACTTGCTGTTTGTGCGGCGGAGCAGAGAGGGTCTTCCAGCGAGCAAAGAAGTCGGCAGAGGAGAGCGACGCGGGCAGGTGCAGGCGCAGCGGCACGCGCGTGCCCGCCGGCAGCGTGTATGCCATGTCCAGGTGTGGCGCCTCCCTGGATACCAGCACTGCTGCCGCCTCCACTGGTAGCTGGATCTGTCGGGGGGGATAGGGCGGGGGGAGGGGAAGGGTGCAGGAGGGAGGAACAGGATGCAAGGCGAAGGAGCGAAGGGGATGAAGGCGGAGGGGATGAAGGCGCAGGGGATGAAGGCGCAGCGGCACGCGCGTGCCCGACGGCAGCGTGTATGCCATGTTCAAGCGCGGCGCCTCCCTGGGTACCAGCACTGCTGCCGCCTCCACTGGTAGCTGGATCTGTCGGGGGGGGGGGGGGGGGGGAAGAGAGGGGGGGAGAAGGAATGGGGTGCAAGGCAAAGGGGCGGAGAGATAGAAGGTGGAGGAGATGAAGGCGGAGGGGTTGGGAGAGGATTCCAAGAGGGAGGTTTAGGCCCGAGAAGGAGGAGAATGATGAGGCAATAGCAGAAAGAGGGATCGTCAAGAACAGCGCGAGGGTTGGGCGAGAGCATAGAGACGGGGGGAGAGGGAAGCAGAGGGAGGACTGACCTGGGCGTGGGGGGGGATGACTTGAGGCAGCGGCGAGAGGATGACTCGCAGGCCTGGCGTGGGCGGTGTGGAGGCGGTGAGAGCGGTGAGCGGCGCCGTCTCCTTGTTCCCGAGGAAGAGCACCAGGCGGCCGTGCGGTGGCTTCCACTCACTCTTCACCCCGATCTGCCATGCCATGCCATGCCATGCCAGGCTGTGCCATGCCATGCCATGCCATGCACAGCCATGCACGCATACACGACGGGCGGTGCAAGGGGGGCGATGGGCAGTCGAAGCGCGGGAGAGCGAGTGGCACGGTGGTGCAGGGGATGAAGCAATGGGATGAGGAGGTGAAGCAAGGAGGTGGGAAGATGGAGCAAGGCAGTGCATTCAGCGAATCGCAGTATCGGGTAAGAAGGGGTAACATGGCATGGTATGGGTATGAGATAAGCACCTGACATATGCATGTCCTACCATCGTCCCTACCTGCAGCCGTGCTCCCCTCCCCCCTCTGAGAGGGGGGCTCTCACCTGCAGGTGCGGGCCCTCATAGAGCACGCCGCTGTGCGTGCCCATCAGCGCACACGTGGTTACCCCTGCACACTTGCTAGTGCGCATAAGAGCGATCATCTCATTCTCACCTGCAGGTGCGGGTCCTCATACAGCACGCCGCTGCCCTTGCCCATCAATGCCCTGAACCACTCCGCCACACTGCCCAGTGGCTGCCACGAGAGGAAGAGGGGGAGTGGGTGCAAAGGGAGGGTGAGATTCTTAGAGGGATGTTGTTGAGTTGTAAAAAAATGACTACAGCACGCCGCTGTCCTTGCCCATCAGCGCCCGGAACCACTCCGCCACACTGCCCAGTGGCTGCCATGCAGGGCACGGTGGGAAGGGCAAAAGGGGGATGTGGAATAATGGGAGGGGGGCAGCACTATGAGGGCAGCACTATGAGGGCAGCACTATGAGGGCAGCACTGTGAGGGCAGCACTGTGAGGGCAGCACTGTGAGGGCATGGCATGGCAAAGGCGGATGGAGCGAGGGGGCTGAGAGACTCCCCTTCTACTTTCACCAGCCGCTTCCCTGTTCCGCTCATCTCTCCTTCCCCTCCGTCGCTCCTTGCCCTTGTGGTTCCTCTCCCATCCTCCACCTACCCCCACACAGGACGCAGCATCCTCCACCTACCCCCACACAGGACGCAGCATCCTCCACCTACCCCCACACAGGACGCAGCATCCGTTTCACTCCACCGCCGGATCTCACTGTAACTGCAAAACAACACACCACCTCCGCATCCCACCGTACCTGCACCACAGCCTCCCACCGTACCTGCACCACAACGTCTCAATGATCGTGGCATCTTGATCTCCGACACCCTCCTCACAGCACGCATCCTTGACTGCCTCCCACCCACCTACGACACTTACCGCATCAATTTCACCTCCCAGCACATCCGTCCTCCTCTTGTGGCTGTTACCATCGACTGGCTCCTTGACAGTGAGGCTGACCTTCTGCGTGAATCTGCCTCCATCAATGCCGTTCATGCGTGCAAAGGAACAAACACCGGCGGAAGCAGCGGCGGCGGACCAGGACGTGGAAGAGGAGGCGGTCGCGGAGGTGGACGAGGAGGGCGCACTGGGGAACGTGGCGGGCGTGGGGCAACCACTTCAACCACGGGTGGGCTCCCTCCGTGCCAGTATGTCATTCGCCAAGGCCCCAACAAAGGTCAGACCTGCAACCAGACCACCCATCCCACTGATTCGTGCTTCAAAGCTCTCACCGACGAATGGCTTGCACGCAGCAACACGGGCTCTCCTCCACGCTGGAGCACCATCACCCCTCGCCCCACCCCTCGTGACATTCGCACCCTCCCCGCCTATGCACCATCTCCCCCCAACCTCCATAATGTCCTCGCCCAACACCTCTCCCCTCACGTCCTCCAGCAAGTCCAACACCTCCTCCCCACACCCACCACCACCCCCACGTCTCCCACCCTCACCACACCCACCCTCGCACCTCAAACCCCTCCCTCCCCCTATCCTCCTCTCTCCCCCTATCCTCCTCCTTACGCTGGCTGGCCCTACCCTCCCTACCCCCCATCTATGTATGGCCATGGAACTGCTGCAACTGCTGCAACTGCTACAACTGCTGCAACTGCTGCAACTGCTGAACAGACCCCCTCCTCCTCTCACCCCCCCGGCTTCACACCGTTCCCTTCTACGGGCTTCATAGGCCATGTCTCCACTACTAGCACTTATGATGACCCTACGTATGCCAATGCTATTAATGAGTCCTCATTCCAGTACTCCGTGTCCTCCTCCTCCTCCCAGCCCCTTGAATTCATACTTGACAGCGGAGCCACACACACGGTCCTTCGTGACGCAGGCACGCTCCTCCCCCTCTTTACTCCCTCCACAATTCTTGGGGCTGACTCAAGCTTTGCAATACAAAGCCGTTACACCTCCACACTCCCCTGTCCCCTCTTTCCCTCAGGTACCGTCACAGGTCTCTATATCCCCTCCCTTCGTAACAACCTGGTATCCCTTGGTGCCCTCTCAACGGCAGGTGTCACCGCCATATTCCCTGGTCATGCGGCATATTGTGACTTATTTCACACCTCCTCCGGTCGCTTCCTCTGTCGTGTCCATCGGTGCCCCTCAACCCACATGTACACCTTCCGCATCCCCCGTCCCACCCTTCACCAACTCTCCACACCCCATCCCCCCGCCCCTTCCCCTCCTCTCGAACACCCCCCTCCCCCTCCCCCTCCCCCTCCCCCTCCCCCTCCCCCTCCCCCTCCCCCTCCCCCTCCTCCTCCCCCTCCCCCTCCCCCTCCCCCTCCCCCTCCCCCCGCCCCTTCCCCTCCCCCCCCATCTAACCCACCCTCCCCCTGTCACTGTCGTGATCTCACACACCCCACCATTCTCCTCCACCATCGCCTAGGCCATCCCAACTTTGCCACCCTTCGCCGATCCATCCTCACTAAACTCCTTGATGGCCTCCCCCTTACCCTTCCCCCCCTCCCTCCTTCCCCCTCCCCTCCTTGCTCAGTTTGTGTTGAAAGCAAGCTGAAGCAACAACCACATACGAGTAACCCCTCCTTTTCCCTCCAACCCCTTGACCTCGTCCACATGGACCTTTGGGGCCCTAACCCTTCCCCCACCAGGCAAGGACATCGCTGCCTCCTCATCCTGGTGGATGATCACAGTCGATACTCCTCCGTCACCCTCCTTTGTACGAAGGCGGAGGCCCCGGCTGCCATCACTGCCTGGGCTGAACAAGCACGCAACCACTTCGGTCGCCCTGTTCGCCGCTTCCATTCCGATGGAGGCGGTGAGTTCCTCAACCGCACCCTGTCCTCCTACTGCACCTCTCACGGCATCCTCCACACCTACACTCTCCCTCACTCCCCTCAGCAGAATGGTGTGGCGGAGAGCCGCGTTCGGGAGATCACCAAAACTGCTCGGTGCCTCCTCGTTCACGCCTCCTGCCCACCTTCTCTTTGGGGCTATGCCATCCTTCACGCTGCCATCCTCACTAACCTCTACCCCCACCCCTCTCGTCCCACCTCCACCCCCACCGAACTATGGACCTCCAGCAAGCCTGACATATCCCCTCTGCGCGTGTGGGGTTGCAAGGCGTATGTCCTCATACACCCTGCCGACCGCCCACGCGCACGTGGAAAGCTTGCGTCCTGCACTCTCCCCTGTGTCTACCTTGGACACAACACCAACTCACCTGACTACCTTTTCCTCCACCCCCCCTCAGGCTGCCTCATCCGTAGTCGGGACGTGGTCTTTGACGAGGCCACCCCATACTACACCTCCCCCTCCGCCCCTAACCCCCTTCCCCCATTTCCCCGGCCCCTTCTCTGGACTGACACCCTGCCCCTCCTCCCGTCCCCTGCCATGACCCCTACCCCCCCTCCTCCACCCCTCCCCCCCGCTCCCCTCTCCTCCAGCTCCTCCGGCGACATCCTTAACCCACCCCCACTCCACTACCTCACCTTCCGCTGCAATTCACCTTCCTCCTCCTCCTCCTCCCCCTACTCCACCTCCCCCGCCCCCTCCATCCCCCCTCCCCTCCTCTAATCCGCCCCCCCCTCCACCTCCCCCCCCCCTTCCCCGGTGCCCCTCCCCTACCCTTGTCCTTCCCCGCTATCCCCACACCCGCTCCTTGGACCCCATCCTTGGTTCCCCACAGACTTCCCCCCCCTCCCTCCTCGCCCTCACCGGTACTCCCCTCCCCCCCCGCTTCAGCCCCCTCACTCCAGATCCACTGCGCAACCGCTCTGCGCTCCTGACTGCACCACCCCGCAGCCGAGCAGCAGCACTTCCATGTCCCAGACTCGACCTCCAGCGCAGATGTCTTGCATCTTCACCACCCCCTCTACCTCCTCCTCTCTCTCCTCTCCTATATGAAGACACCCACGACGAACTCCTCTTCCTCCACCTCCTCGCGCCCTCCATCGCCCCCATCGTCTGCACCATGGCGGGCACTCCAGTTCTTCTTTTCTCGGGCACCCCCACCATCTTCGAACCCACCACGTATGAGGAGGCTATTGCCTGCCTCGACGCACCGCTCTGGATTGAAGCCATGGTCAAGGAGAGCAACGCCTTCATCCACAACCACTCTTTCATTGACGTCCCTCGCCCTGCCAAGACCAATGTCGTCAAGGGCAAATGGCTCTTCCGTGTCAAGCTTCTCCCTGGCGAAGACCCTGTCTACAAAGCTCGCTATGTGGCGAAGGGCTTCACGCAGAAGCACGGCTTTGAATTCTTCGAAACATACTCACCCACTGCTACCCCACCGGTCGTTCGGGTGTTCCTCGACTTCGTCGGCAGACGAGGCATGCTGCTGCACTCCATGGATGTCACTACCGCCTTCCTCCAAGGCGACCTACACGAACTCATCTTCATGGAACGCCCCAAAGGCTTTCACGCTCCACATGACCCGTCCACCGTTTGGAAGTTGCTGCGGCTCGTCTACGGCCTCAAGCAGGCACCCCGGGAGTGGCATGCCAAGCTCTCTTCCACCCTTCGCAAGCTTGGTTTTCGCCCCTCCCGAGCTGCCTCCAGCTGTCGCGATATATATTTATATATGTTTATAACTGCCTGTAGCTTTAGCTTTAGTGTAGTTATGTTTCTTTGTTGTGGTGGTGCACCTCTTTGTTTCTTTGCTATATGTTCTTGCAAACCTATAGTGAAGACACACATTCTCGACATTCCTCCTTGGCACAAGCTACTCACGATACCCTTGGCCTAGGCTACTAAGCCTAGGCCCTTCTTAAACCCGGTTACCAGCTAAGCTAGTCTCGTGATATGGTAACAGAGTGGTCCGTCCTAGGACCTATTTCGTTTATGGGCCCACCACATTTCGCGACTGCTACAGTTAGTGGCGCGAAATCCGCACCTTGCGTATCTTTTTTTTTTCCCTGCTGCTCGCGCTGCCCCCCGTCGCCTGCCTCGTCGCGGCTCTCAGCGCGACGGGCGCGGCGGACGCTATGGCGAACGCCAGCGGACCCGCCGCCAGCGACCCGCCAGCGAAGTCGCCAGCGAAGTCGCCAGCGGCCCGCGATCGCGTTTGCGCCATCGACTGCAGCCAGCGCCACCTTGCACCTCGCCCGTCGCACCGGCGGTCGCTGTGGGGGGGAGAGGGAAGAAGGGATGGGAGTGGCGGCGGAACTCTGTGGGGGCGAGAGGGAAGAGGGGATAGGAGTGACGGGGGAACGCCAGCGACGATCGCCAGAGCACTGGCGATCGCCCCAGCCGCTCATTCGCCCGCTCTGCCCGTCGCATTCCCCCCGCCCCCTGCCCGTCACCCCCCCCCCCCCCCGTCGCGACTGTTTGCGTGTGCAGCGGCGGTCGCCATGGGGAGGAGAGGGAGGAGGGGAAGGGAGTGGCGGTGGGACGCTGTGGAAAGGAGAGAGAGGAGGGGAAGGGAGTGGTGGCGGAACAGCACCAGCGCCAGCCGCCAGCACCAGGAACCAGCACCAGCGCCAGCCGCCAGCACCAGGAACCAGCCCCAGCGCCAGCCGCCAGCACCAGGAACCAGCCCCAGCGCCAGCCGCCAGCACCAGGAACCAGCCCCAGCGCCAGCCGCCAGCACCAGGAACCAGCCCCAGCGCCAGCCGCCAGCACCAGGAACCAGCCCCAGCGCCAGTCGCCAGCACCAGGAACCAGCCCCAGCGCCGGCCGCCAGCACCAGGAACCAGCCCCAGTGCCAGCCGCCAGCACCAGGAACCAGCACCAGCGCCAGCCGCCAGCACCAGGAACCAGCCCCAGCGCCAGCCGCCAGCATCAGGAACCAGCCCCAGTGCCAGCTGCCAGCACCAGGAACCAGCACCAGCGCCAGCCGCCAGCACCAGCACCAGCAACCCCACCTGTGACCAGCAGCCCCACCTGTGACCAGCAGCCCCACCTGTGACCAGCAGCCCCACCTATGACCAGCAGCCCCACCTGTGACCAGCAGCCCCACCTGTGACCAGCAGCCCCACATGTGACCAGCAGCCCCACCTGTGACCAGCAGCCCTACCTGTGACCAGCAGCCCCACCTGTGACCAGCAGCCCCACCTGTGACCAGCAGCCCCACCTGTGACCAGCAGCCCCACCTGTGACCAGCAGCCCCACCTGTGACCAGCAGCCCCACCTGTGCCCAGCAGCCCACCTGTGAAAGACTGTACAGGGACCATCGTGGGTTGGGAGAGGTATGGAGGAAGACAGGGGTGGAGGGAGTGCGGTTCCAGGGGGCGACTGAAATGGGGGGTGAGGTTGAGGGCGGGTGGTTGGTTGGGGGTGGGGATGTGGGGGTTAGTAAGAGGGGACGCTGCGGCCACCCCCCCACCTCTTCTCCTCATCCCCCACTCAACCCCCCCTTTCGTAAAAGGGGGTTAGTAAGAGGGGACGCTGCGGCCACCCCCCACCTCCTCTCCTCATCCCCCACTCACCTCCTCCTGCGTTCTTATCTATTCTCCTCTCCTCTCTTCCTCTTGCCTCCTCCTCCTCACGTACCCCTCTGCCGTCTCCCACCGCACCTGCCCCTTCAGGGGGTGTGACTTGCTCTAGCAATGTGCTGCAGGCAGTTAAGGGGGTGTGTCGCGATATATATTTATATATGTTTATAACTGCCTGTAGCTTTAGCTTTAGTGTAGTTATGTTTCTTTGTTGTGGTGGTGCACCTCTTTGTTTCTTTGCTATATGTTCTTGCAAACCTATAGTGAAGACACACATTCTCGATTCTCTCTTGGCACAACTCCCTCGACACCCGCTTGGCCTAGGCTACTAAGCCTAGGCCCTTAGTTAAACCCGTTCCTAGCTAAGTTCGTCTCGTGACACCAGCCTCTTCCTTCGGACAGCTCCGTCCTCTTTCTACATTCTCGTTTACGTCGACGACATGCTACTAGCCGCCGACACAGATGCTGAGATGCAGGAGGTCAAGGACGAACTACAGCGTCGCCTTGCCTGCAAAGACCTGGGGGAGGTCCGCAACTACCTTGGCATGGAGATCACCCGCGACCTCAAGGCTAAGACTATCTCCCTCTCTCAGTCCTTCTACATTGAGAAGGTCCTTGAGAGGTTTGGAATGTCCAAAGCCAAGCCCATCGCCACTCCGCTTGCAGTTGGGCACCAGCTCTCGCCCCCTGCCACCCCCACCGACTCCTCGAACCCCTATGCAGAGCTTGTCGGGGCCCTGATGTATGCCATGGTCTGCACCCGCCCCGACCTTGCCTACCCAGTCAGTGTTCTGGCGCGGTTCGTTGGTGTCGGCAGGCACACGGAGGAACACATGACGGCAGCCCGGCGTGTCCTACGCTACCTTTAGCACACGAAGCATTACACTCTCACCCTTGGTGGAGCGGACCCGCCGGTTCTCACTGGCTTCAGCGACTCGTCCTGGGCAGACTCACAGCCTGACCGCCGCAGCTCACAAGGATATGGTTTCACCCTTGGGAGCGGCCTCATCAGCTGGCGCTCCACCCGCTCTTCTTCCATCGCCCTCTCCTCCTGCGAGGCAGAACTGTACGTGGTCACAATGGCAGCACAGGAAGCACGCTGGCTCAGCTATCTCCTCACAGACCTTGGCTCACCACAGCCCTGTCCCACCCTCTGGTGTGACAACGCCAGCACCATCCACCTCACCAAAGAAGCTGTCTTCCATGGTCGCTCCAAGCATATCGAGCTCCGACACTACTTCGTCCGCGACCTTGTCCAGGATGGCCATATTACCGTGCGCAAGATTGACTCATCCTCCAAACCCGCCGACATATTCACTAAGGCCCTTGACCGCGCTACTCACTCGGCGATCTTGCCCCTCCTGGGCCTTACTCCCCATGGTGACTGATTCAGGGGTTGATGTCTTATCTCCTCCAGGGTTATGGATCTCTGCAGGCTAAGGGGTTGTGTTAGATTATACTACTCTTTTGTATCCTGCATTGATCCTATAAACCCTAGGATAGAGATAGGCGCCCAAACTATGTTTGGGTGCACAACTAGGGTTAACCCTAGTTGGGGGTTGGAACCCAACCTTGGTCCAATTATTGGCCCCCAAGGTTGGGTTAGGAGATTATTGGCCCCCCCAATAATGTTGGCTCACCTTGACCAACATTATTGGGACCCCCCAATAATTCTCCAACCCAACTTATTGGTGGGGGGCCAATAATGTTGACTAGGTACCCAACCAACCCCCCCTTCCCTAGATCCAACTATGTAAACCCGCAGCATTCCTAATCAAGCTATCGGTTCAATTCTAACATGGCGTACCTGCAGCCAGGGCGAGGGGATGGCGTACCTGCAGCCAGGGCGAGGGGATGGCGTACCTGCAGCCAGGGCGAGGGGATGGCGTACCTGCAGCCAGGGCGAGGGGATGGCACAGCACACGACACACACACAGCATACCTGCAGCCAGGGAGATGGAATGGCATAGTACGTGTAGTCCTGCGGGATGTCCACACACTTGGCGAGGCGCTCCAGCACCTTGACGCACTTGGGCACACAGCACAGGTACGCCTCCGGGTTCGCTGCCACCAGCGCCACGAGCAGCGACATGGTTGCGAGGAGCACGCTCAGACTGCGCTCCTCCAGCAGACTCGCCATGCGCTGTGGCCTGCAGCAGGGGGAGAGGATGGGCGGGGGGGAATCATGTGATGTAGTATGGGAAAAGGGCATGAGAAGATGCAGGGGGGGATCATGCGCTGGGCAATGGGTGGCAATGGGTATGGGTGGTTGGCAAGGCGTGGCAATGGTGCACAGGACGGGGAGGAGATGTCGATGGAAGATGCTGCACCTGGAATGGAGCTCACCACGTGTCGTTGCTCATGAGGCTCAGCAGGCGACTGGTGGGCTCAACGTGTTGCCCCAACAGGCGCCTGCTGAGGCTCATCATGTCGGGCTTCTTGCAGAAGAGCCCCAGCAGGCGACTGTTGGGGCGGTCCAAGGGTAGGATTTTGCTTGAGGTGCCCTTGGGAGCGAGAGTCCCCAAAGGGTGGTGGTCCTGCCACGTCTTAATCAGCATGGAAGCACGCAGTTGGCCAGCTGCCAGTCGGTGTCGCTGCCAAGTAATAATGTTCCTGCTTTGTGAAAATGCGCGTTCACTCGCTGCTGACGAAGCCGGTACCCCCAGATAATCGCGAGCCATCGCCCTCAAGCCCTTCAGGGTCTCCCTGCTGTGCCAATACTCCAATGCGCTTCCACCCCTCTGCCTCCCCTCTGCGAGGTACTGATCCACCTCATCCTGTGGATCCTCCCCCTCTTCGGCCTCCATGGCGTCCCACGCTGCGAACAACTGAGACTGTATGCTGACCTTTGCCGATGCATCCACAGCCCCGCCCCCTGCCGATGCATGCACCCCTGCACCCCTTGCACTAGTCACCTCCCCACCATCGCCCTGTGCCGTGGTGCTGGCTGCCTGGTACTCTGAAAGGCGCGCCCGTACCAGGGCCTTCACCCTATCAGGGCCTAGCTCCAGTGTTGCCCCTCTCGAATTCCCCTCCGCTGCCCTCGCTCGGTGCTTGAAGGGTGCGAGCTTCTGGCACGGGTCCAAGAAAGTGGCTATCGCTGCCTCCTCGCTCACACCCCCCATGTGTCGCTCCAGCTTGCCCAGAGCAGCAGTAATCAGCGATGAGCGCAGAGGGGAGATGCCAGGAGTGAGCTGTGCCTTCTCCTGCAGATCAATCAGCACGTTGTACTGCGGTACAACGGCCGAGAGGGTAGGGTACAGGGAACCCTCGGCGAAGGGGGTGACTTGCTCGAATGGGGTGAGGAAGTCTCGGAGCTCGGCGAGGTCGTCCCAGTGCGCATCCGTCAACCTGATGGCGTCCCACGCCTTCCGAGTCTCCTTGCTGATGGATGGCTGGAATGGGTCACATGGGTTGTAAAGATGGAGGTAGGGCAATGACTTTAGTGTATGGCATTGCACAAGACATAAAGCACCATCCAAGTATCCATGTGCTAGCGCGCACTTCGTTATAGTCACATGGCCACCCAAATATCAACAAGCTTCACTAGTCAAGCCATGCCCACGTACCCCCATTCGCCATAGTCACATGCCCATGTTCATCATACACTACGTACATCGGAATCGTCGAAAAACATGGCAATGGGCATGCGCATCTTGAAGCCCCTGTTCACCATGTTGAGTGTAGAACCCCATCTCGTCGGCGAGTCCACGATCAAGCGCAACGGACCCGATGCTCGCCGCGAACACGGAGGACCCTGGGGCCGGGTCGCCGCGTATCCCCTCTGGAGCTCAAAGAAACGATCTGTGCGCAGCGTGGACCAGCCGATGTAGTTCGCCACATCCCGCAGCCTCTTGAGTGGCTCGGCCACCTCGTCAACCTTCAGTGCAGCCTGCACTGCAAGGTTGACGACGTGCGCCACGCACCTGTTGGGGCAATGCATTGTGCAGCGTGGGTTTAGTGGCAACGCTTCACATAAGCACTGCCATAAAAACCATGGTCTGCAACGCCAACAGTATATAGCATACCCTTACGGAGACGGCCCCATAGTACCTGAAGTGCCTCCAGCGACTGAGCAGTGGTGGGTGCCTGGGCCGCGAGCCCGGCCTGGCGTCAGGTACACCGGCCAGCAGACGCATCGCCCTGCTGTTGTTCTCGGCATTGTCACACGTCACGGCGAACAGCATCTTCTCCAAGCCCCACTCCCTCAACACCTCCTCCAGCTCATCGGCTATCAAGTCCCCCGTATGAGAGCCCTTAAGCTCCCTGAAGTCTATAACAGCCGGTTTCAGCTGGAAATCGCTGGTGACATAGTGGCAGGTCACCGCCATGAAGGCCACGTTGTTCTCACCGGTCCAGATGTCAAAGGTGAGAGACATCCTTCCCGCCAGGCCATCACCCACCAATAGCTGTCGCATGTCCTCCCTAGCAGCCTCCCCGTATGCCTGCATGTCCCGTGCCAAGCGATGGCGTGAGCCGAGCAGTAGCGCAGCTCCTGGGTTCAGCATCTGGACAAACGCTTTGAACTGTAGATGCAAATACAAACGCATAAATGGTGGTGTGGATGTCGGGATGAGGAGCAGAGATGGTGGGATGGGATGAGGAGCAGAGATGGTGGGATGGGATGAGGAGCAGAGATGGTGGGATGGGATGAGGAGCAGAGATGGTGGGATGGGATGAGGAGCAGAGATGGTGGGATGGGATGAGGAGCAGAGATGGTGGGATGGGATGAGGAGCAGAGATGGTGGCATGGGATGAGGAGCAGAGATGGTGGGATGGGATGAGGAGCAGAGATGGTGGGATGGGATGAGGAGCAGAGAGGACCATGTCAATACGGAGGAGCAGGATGAACAACGACAAGAGTACCGCATCACTCACCTCGCGACACTCAACCAGTCGAAACGGAAGGTCGGCTGCCGCAAATAGCTGCACCAACCCCTCGCGCAGCTGCTGGCCATGAACACGCGGCGTGACGAATGCGCCCATGCTCATCTGCCTACTCCCACCAGCCGCGGCTCCGCCAGTCACTGCGCTGGCGGGCATACCCTCGGGTGTCTGTACAATCCTGGGCCACGTGGCTGCATGCTCCCAAGGCCACGCTGTCCGGTCGGGGACTTCCGGACCCCATCCCCCATCGGGAAACGTCAGGTTGTCTGGCTTGTTTGGATCCTTGAAACGCCGACACCAGATATGCAGACTGGGGTAGTGGCTCCTCTTGAGGTGTCTCTTCCCCGTGCTCGTGCAACTCCCTTTCCAGCTAATCCTCGTCCGGCAAATCTTGCAAGTCCTAGCATCGTTCACCTTCTCACTGAACATGCCACGAACCAGCCCGGGTTCTGCACTACTAAGTACCTCCTCAGTCCATGGGTCCAGCTCTGCATCCGTAGGGGTCCTGCCTGTTAGAATATCTCTCCTCTTGTAACTGCATATATGCTATAGGATAGGCTACAGATAAGCACCCAAACTTAGTTTGGGTGTACAAACAGGGGTAACCCAGTTTGTAGGTTGGAACCCAACCTTGGTCCAATTATTGGACCCCAAAAGGTTGGGTTGGGTAGAATTATTGGCTCCCTCCAATAATGTTGGCCCAACCCCAACTTGGCCAACATTATTAGACCCCACCAATAATCACCCAACCCAACTTCTTGGTTGGGGTCCAATAATGCCAACCTAGGCTAGTATCCAACCCCCTACTATGTATACCCCCATGATTCTCAATCAAAGAATCAACTTCTATTCTAACCTCTTGTTTCCCACATGGTATAGAGCTCACTATCCTAGGCCTACTCCTCTCGTTTCAAAGGCCCACCCGGCCGCCGCAACCCCCGGCCTCCTCCCTTCATTTTTTTTTTTTTCCCGGCTACTCCGCCGCCTTCCCCCCCTCCTTAGCGCTTTTTTTTTTTCCTTCAGCGGCCTAGCTGCCGCCTCCGCGCCTGCCGTCGCCGCGGCCTCGCCAGCCGCCGCTGCCCGCGCCATTCCCTTCCGCGGCCCCGTCGCCGCTTCCACGCCCGCGTCGCTACGGCCTCGCCAGCCGCCGCCGCCTGCGCCACTCTCCTCCGCGGCCTCCTCGCCGCCTCCGCGCCTGCGTTCGCCGCGGCCTCGCGAGCCGCCGCCACCTCGCGCCGCTCCGCGGCCTCGTCGCCGCCTCCGCGCCTGCCGCCGCCGCGGCCTCACCAGCCGCCGTCGCCCGCGCCTTCCCACCCCCCCCCCCCCCCCCCCCCCCACCTCCGCGACCCCGTCGTCGCCTCCGCGCCCGCGTCGCCACGTCCTCGCCAGCCGCCGCCGCCCGCGCTGCTCCCCTTCGCGACCTCGTCGCCGCCTCCGCGCCTGCGCTCGCCGCGGCCTCGTAAGCCGCCGCCACCTCGCGCCGCTCCGCGGCCTCGTAGCCGCCTCCGCGCCTGCCGTCGCTGCGGCCCCGCCAGCCGCCGTCGCCCACGCCATTCCTCCTCCGCGGCCTCGTAGCCGCCTCCGCGCCCGCGTCACCGCGGCCTCGCCAGTCGCCGCCGCCCGCGCCGCTCCCCTCCGCGGCCTCGTCGCCGCCTCCGCGCCTGCGTCCGCCGCGGCCTCGCCAGCCGCCGCCACCTCGCGCCGCTCCGCGGCCTCGTCGCCGCCTCCGCGCCTGCGAAAGCCGCGGCCTCGCCAGCCGCCGCCGCCCGCGCCATTCCTCTCCCCCCCCCCCCCCCCCCCCCCCCCCCCTCCGCGGCCTCGTCGTCACATCCGCGCCTGTGCTGTCACGGTCCTACTGACCGGCGCCGCCTGCGCCATTCCTCCACCTCCCCACCGCTTCCGCACCTACGCCACAGCAGCCCCGCCAGCTGCCGCCGCCTGCGCGCTTCTGTGACCACTGCGGGTCCACCCGCAGCCGTCCCTCATGGCTTACCCCATGCCCTCCCCCTCCCCCCTCCCTCCTCCTTTCGATACTTCCTCCATTGACAAACTGCAGCTTGCAGCTGACAAATCTGCCATTAACTGGCATTCGTTTGTCGGCAGCATCCGCCGAGTCCTCAACGACGCATGGGTCTCCCCCTACCGCGTCCTTGACGTAATCCTCCGCCGCCCCCATGCCCTCCCCCCCACCGAACCTGACCACCCCGGCGAGGGCCCTCCTCTCCCTCCCCCTCCTGGCGATCCTCCCCTTGAGCCCGACCTCCAGGCCGCCGCCGACCAAGCTACCGCAGATGCAGATTTCATTATGCGTCGCCGTGCCTACCTCATCCGCAAAGCTGAATAAGATGCAGCAGCTGATGCCTACGCCCAGGCGGTTGCTGGCCGCAATGCTCACCTCGTCGTCGTCGCCAAATACAACGAAAATATGGCTTCCTTCACTCCAAAGTTCATCGACTGGTCAGCCGCTGACAACCGAGCTTGCACCGTCATTCTTGGTGCTCTCCCTGACTCCCTCATGCGCCGCTTCCAGGCTCGGGAACTCCGTGCCTCGGTGATTTGGGCAGAACTACATGCTATGTTCGAACGCCGTAACATCAGCTCGGTTGGAATCCTCTTCCAATAATATTTTTCTATTACCCTCGCCACTTGTGACGGAGCTGTAGACTATGTCGGCCGCATGCGAGAGGTAGCCGATCGCCTCGACGCCCGCCAAGCCGGCCTCTCCGAACCCCTCCAAATCCATCGCCTCCTCTTCAACCTCACCCCAGCCTATGAATCCCGCCTTCACGCCTTTACCGAGGCCAATCCCATGGCCGATCTCGCTTCTGTTGAACAGTGGATCATCGATACCGAAGTCAAACTTCGCACCCCTATAGTCAACCTCGCCTCCTCCCAACCTTCCTCCTCCTCTCTCAACGCTACCCAGCCCCGCAAGCAGGGCAAAGGCAACGGCAAAGGGGGAGGTGGGGGCAAGGGAGGCAGCGGTCAAGGAAGCAGCAGCGCAAGCAGCCGTGGTGGCTCCACCGGGGATGAGCACGGCACCCCCAGTCAGGGCGGTCCCTCTGGGAACCGCGGGACCCGCCCTGGCACTCTCCCTCCCTGCACCTATTTCCGTCGCTACGGTCCCCGGGCAGGAACACCCTGCGGTCAAACCAACCATCCCCCTAGCACGTGCTTCAAGGCTCTCGATGATGCCTGGTACGCGCGGGGCAACGTTGGCACACCTCCCCGCTGGGGTACCATCTCCCCACGTCCCTCCCCTACTGACATCCAAACCAACCCTGCTTATCTCCCTACCCACCTCCGCCTCCTTGCTCCCCCCACGCCGTTCCTCAATCTTCAGCAGCAGCATCTTCTGCAGCAGCAGCAGCAGCAGCAGCACCTGTTCCAGCAGCAGCCACCGCAGCAGCAGCAGCAGCAGCTGCAGCAGCCCCCATGGGGACCTGGGCTCCCACCCCAGTGGGGACCCAGCACTACCCCCTGGCAGCAGCAGCAGCTGAACTTTGGCACAGCAGCCACAGCTGCTCAGACCTCCCCTGCTCCCCTGTGGGGTGCCCCACCTCCTCCCAGTGGCGTTGTCACTCCCCTCACCCAGGAAAGTTTCCTTGGCAACATTGCTATCTCCCCATCTCTTCCTTCTATGTACCCATCCAACATTAATGAAACCACTTTCCAGTACTCGGTGTCTTCCTCCTCCTCCCCACCCACTCTGGACTTCGTCCTTGATAGTGGGGCCACTGAGACTGCTCTCAAGGATGCTGGTACACTCACACCCCTCTCTCCTCCCACTCAGGTTCACGGTGCTGACAGCAGTTTTACCATCCCATGCACACACCTCTCCACTCTCTCCTGCACAATCTTCCCCTCCGGTACGGTAACTGGTCTCCACATCCCCACCCTCCAAAATAACCTCCTCTCCCATCGGGAAATCCAGAATGCAGGTATCACTACCATCTATCCAGGTAATGCCACCTACTGTGACCTCTATCACACCGCCTCCGGTCGCTTCCTTCTACGCATTCCCCTCTGCCCCCGCACTCGCCTCTACACTCTTCGCACCCCTTGGCCATCCTTCTGCCATGTCACCACTCGTGCTGGCACCTCCACTAACCCTCCCCATCTCCCTACCTCACCTCCACCCCAGCAGCAGCAACAGCAGCAGCAGCCGCCGCAGCAGGGGCAGCAGCAGCAGCAGCAGCAGCCGCTGCAGCAGGGGCAGCAGCAGGGGCAGCAGCAGCAGCAGCCGCTGCAGCAGGGGCAGCAGCAGGGGCAGCAGCAGCAGCAGCAGCAGCAGCAGCAGCAGCCGCTGCAGCAGGGGCAGCAGCAGCAGCAGCAGCAGCAGCAGCAGCAGCAGCAGCAGCAGCAGCCGCCGCAGCAGGGGCAGCCGCAACAGCAGCAGCAGCAGCAATCACCTCCCCTCCTCCCACCCTCGCTCACTCCGATCCCTTCCACCTTCGACCATCTCTCTCATCCCGCTGTACTGTTACATCACCGACTCGGCCATCCCAATTTCGCCGCTCTCCGCACTGCCATCACCTCCCGACTCCTTCACAGCCTCCCTCCCACCCTTCCTCCCCTCCCTTCCTCTCCAGCACCTCCATGCCCCTCCTGCATCCACGGCAAACTCAAACAGTCTCCCCACCACAGTCATCCATCCTTTGCTCCTGCCCCAATTGACCTTGTCCATATGGACCTCTGGGGACCCTCCCCCACCCGCTCACGCCAGGGCCATCGCTACATGCTGGTCCTCGTAGACGACCACAGCCGCTATTCCTCCATTTTCCTCCTCCACACGAAAGACCAGGCGCCGACTGTGATCACCCACTGGGCAGAGCAATGCCGCGCCCACTTCAAGCGTCCCATCGGCCGCCTTTGTTGTGTGATGCAATCATACACATTCACGTCTGTCTGCCTCCCATCATGTGTTCGTGCGTTGCATGCGTGGTCTGAGCGTATGCAAGAATTTGTGTTTTGTGCGGTTTGGTTTTTCTGAGTGTGTGTGAATGTTATTTGGCTTGAGCAGATATCTGAAGTGACTCCTCTGCTCAAGAGCTTTCCGACGAACCAAGTATCGCTTCAATCGGAGCACGAACAAGAAAGTTACGAACGTTGGAAGTTCGTATGCTTTTGATATTTGGTTGTGGTGACTATGGGAAGTTGTGGTGTTGACTCCATAAGGAGTTCAGAATCTTGGGGGTTGGGAAATTCGTCAACATCACTGCAGATGCTGCCAAGTGGTTGGGAGGTGCCAAACCAGGTTGGCAAGTGTGGCCAAGTTGGGTGAGGTGGATGGCATGGGTTGGAAAGTGACAAAGGTCAAAGTTTGTTGCCTATGGGGAAGGGAATTGTGTGGTATGGGGTTTCCTTGGTTGGGGACTCCCTTGGGGCCTTCCCTCTCGTCCTCCTCTTCCCCTCCTACCTGGTTTAGTGCTACTCCAATGTTTTTTTGTTGGACTTGTGAGTTAATTGTGATTGAGTTAAATTTCTGTGGCAGCATACCCCCTAGTGCGCCGAAAAGCATAACTCGAGATATACTTCATATTTTGATACGATTCAAACTGGGAAATGTCGGTAGAGATGAGCATCTGGCCCGGCCAGACCCGACCCGACCCGACCCGACTTGGCCGGGCCACACGGGCTCCCGGGTCGGGTCGGGTCGGGCCAACCTCGGGCCAGGGTGCTGAATGTCCTGGCCCGACCCGGGCCTACACACTCGGGTCAACTTGGACCCGGTCACGGGTCGGGTCGGGCTGGGTCAGGATGACCCGCCCAGGATGGCCCCTAAGAACCTCAACAAAATGGTGCAATGTTAGTTGCTGGCGCCTATGAGCAACTGCTGGCCTAAAACGAGGCATGCAGCCTGTGAATTGAAGTATCGCTAGTAAAACGCGATGTTGTAAAAAAACGCCATTCCTGCATCGCAATTTTCCGTAAACAGCAGGATACGATTGTAAACTAGCTATAAATGTCCATCAATGAGGTTTGAACGGGTGGTAGGTGACTTGCTTGCTGCCGTTAGGCAAGATTGAGAGCGTCGGTAGGTTCTGATGTCGAGGGTATAAAAAACACCTCTACAACAATTTGACCTAGTATTTCGTCCCCAGTGTGTCGAAATCGGGTCGGGCCAAAAGCCCGACCCGACTTCGCAGGTCCTGACCCGAATTCGCAGGTCCTGACCCGAAACCCGACCCGACTCGGCCCGAGTTCCATGCTCGGGTCGGGTTTTAGCCCGGGTCGGGTCGGGTCGGCCCGCACGGGGCAGGCAAATGAAACCACTGACCCGACCCGGGCTAAACCACGGGTCGGGTCGGGCCGGCCCGACCCGAGGGGGGCAAATGCTCATCTCTAGATGTCGGTGCTGATGATGAAGTCACTCACCACGTGTCAGTGCTGATGATGACGTCACTCATCATGTGTCAGTGCTGATGATGACGTCATTCACCACGTGTCAGTGCCGATGATGACGTCACTCACCACGTGTCAGTGCTGATGATGACGTCACTCACCACGTGTCAGTGCTGATGATGACGTCACTCACCAAGTGTCAGTGCTGATGATGTCGGGATTCTTGCGGAAGAGCCTCAGCAGGCACAGCGCTGCTTTCTTCTTCTCCAGCGGCCGCGCTGAGCTCGACAGCTGCCAGTGCGCGCAGGGGGGCAAGGGGGGCAAGGGGGGGCAAGGGGGAGCAAGGGGGGGCAAGGGGGGGCAAGGGGGGGCAAGGCAAGCCTGAGCAGGCACAGCGATGCTTTTTTCTTCACCAGCGGCCGCGCTGAGCTCGACAGCTGCCAGTGAGCGGAGGGGGGCAAGCCCAGCAAGCCGGATTGGAGATGAGGGAGGGGGGGGGTGGGGGGATGAATCCTGAAAGGGGGGTGGGGAAATGAATTCAGAGGGGGGGGTGGGGGAATGAATCCAGAGGGGGGGTGGGGGAATGAATCCAGAGGGGGGGGGGTGGGGGAATGAATCCAGAGGGGGGGGGGTGGGGGAATGAATCCAGAGGGGGGGGGGTGGGGGAATGAATCCAGAGGGGGGGATGGGGGAATGAATCCAGAGGGGGGGGGGTGGGGAAATGAATCCAGAGGATGAAAAGGGGAGGAGAGGCAGGGAAGGAGGGGGGGAGGAGGCGGGAGTGAATGGGACGGAGGAGAAGTTGAGCAAAGCAGGACTTGTGTGAGTAAGACATAGCGCACTCTGTACGTATGCCTCTGCGCCACACACAAGCAGCCACATGGGGCGGGGCGTCTGCAGAACCTTCCCTGCCCTACTGAACTTGCACCCTCCCTCACCACCCCTGCCCCAGCATCATCCCATCCCGCCCCATCCTTGCTCCCCCACTTGCCCCAGCCCCACCATCCCATCCTGGCCAACCGCATCCTCATCCCCCCTCCTCCTCCCCTTCCCTCCCTACCAGCAGCTTCTGCACGTCAGGGGCGACGGCCTCTGAGAACTCCTTTCCCCCGATGTTGCCCACCTTGCCAGCTTATGCGAGGTCGTCTTCCTGCCCTACCGCCATTGCACCCTCCCCCACCACCCCTGCCCCATCAAGCTCCCACCCCGCCCACTCCCCCCCCCTCCCCTCTTCCCTCCCCGGCGTACCAGCAGCTTCTGCACGTCAGGGGCGACGGACTCTGAGAACTCCTCCCCCCCGATGTTGCCCACCTGCCACGGCAGGGAAAGGGGGGAGGGGGAGGGAGGGGGGGAAAGCAGGGAGGAAGGCAGAGGTTGAGGAAAGGGGAGGAGGTGGCAGGGGAAGGCGGGGGAGGGAGGGAGGGTGGCAGGGGTGGAGGGGGGAGCGGAGGAGAGCTGGGTGGAGGGTGTAGAGCTTAGTGTGAAATACGCGGAGATAAAGAAGCGAGCGGAGGCAAGCAGTACCATGGTGAGGGCGAGGCATACCATGGTGAGGGCGAGGCATACCATGGTGAGGGCGAGGCATACCATGGTGAGGGCGAGGCATACCATGGTGAGGGCGAGGCATACCATGGTGAGGGCGAGGCATACCATGGTGAGGGCGAGGCATACCATGGTGAGGGCGAGGCATACCATGGTGAGGGCGAGGCATACCATGGTGAGGGCGAGGCATACCATGGTGAGGGCGAGGCATACCATGGTGAGGGCGAGGCATACCATGGTGAGGGCGAGGCATACCATGGTGAGGGCGAGGCATACCATGGTGAGGGCGAGGCATACCATGGTGAGGGCGAGGCATACCATGGTGAGGGCGAGGCATACCATGGTGAGGGCGAGGCACACCATGGTGAGGGCGAGGCATACCATGGTGAGGGCGAGGCATACCATGGTGAGGGCGAGGCATACCATGGTGAGGGCGAGGCATACCATGGTGAGGGCGAGGCATACCATGGTGAGGGCGAGGCATACCATGGTGAGGGCGAGGCATACCATGGTGAGGGCGAGGCATACCATGGTGAGGGCGAGGCACTGAAAGGTCTCGTTGCGGCCGATGATGTCATTCCTGACGGAGTTGATGACGAGGCGTAGAAAGTCGTTGTTCTCGTTCAGCAGACATGACGTCACCATGTAACCCACCTGCCACGTGTCATGCATGCATGCATGGGCAGGCGCACGCATGCACAAACACACATGGGTACATGGACACTTGTGTAGAAGCACACACGGACAATCCGTGATGCACTGTTCCTACGTCAGGACACCTGGCTCACCCTTACCCAAGGGAGTCAGCAGGCGGACGCACGCACGGCAGCAGGCAGCAAGCAGCAGGCAGCAGGCGGACGGACGCAGGTGGGCACGGGGTATTAGAGGAGAACGGACCTTTTTCTCGGCGTATTTGGGCGCGGAAAAGGGGGAGAGCGGGGAGAGCACCTGTTTTTCTGCGTATTTGGGGGCGGAGATGAGGGAGACGGCCTCCATGTGACCGAAGTCGACGTCATAGCCGAGCATGAAGATGTAGAGCAGCTTCCACACGTACTTCTTCTCGTAGGGGGTCAACTTCTGTGCACCGTGGTGGTGGGCATGCACGCACATACGCACAGACAGAGACAAGCATGAGGATGAAGATGTAGAGCAGCTTCCACATGTACTTCTTCTTCTCGTACGGCGTTAGCTTCTGAGAGCATACGCACGCACGGACGGACGGGTACAGGCACAGAGAGATACAAACATGATCATGACGATGTATGGCAACTTATTTCTTCTACACACGTACTTTTACTTCTCGTACGGCGTCAACTTCTGAGAGCTCAGACATGGACACGCACAGACGCGGACACGCACAGACGCGGACACGCATGATACACACACCCATACGCACAGACAGATGTGATTCAAGTCAAGTCAACACGTGCGATTCAACTCAGTCAAAACAAGAACTGTGAGTCAAGTCAACACGTGCGAGTCAACTCAGTCAACGTAAGGCATGTGACCTGGCAATCCAGCTCTCTGCACACAGTATCGCCTCACTTCTTAATCGTCTCCTTATCTACGATCTATCAAGCTGACCGCTCTCATCAGGCTATCATCGTGGCTTTACGATATGCGGGGGTTCGATCTAAACTGAATGATCTAATCCAACCATGTCGCGGCGCATCGTGAAAGTTGATGCCTGCCTCCACACGTACCCGAAAGCGACACGAGCTTTCCGAAAGCATTCGACTTTCCAGACTTTTACGACCCTACTACAGCGAGTTGAACTTACGAAGCTACCACTACGAAAGACCACGGCCACGCCCGCCGTCTTACACGTTCAGCCTTGAAATGCGTGCGAATGTTCGCGAGCTCCTTGTCGACTCGTAGTCGCTCCTGCTAGAATGCCATGGCGACCCCTGTAGCGAGTCACCGACGACGTACGTGTCGTCTTCACTCGTGCGATCCTTCCAGCGAAGCAGGAACACCACTTTGCGTCCGGCAGCCGTCGGATCCACGCGATGGTTCGGAATCTTCCATGGCTCGAGCGTTGGTTCTGGGACAGGTCGAACAGTTGGCGCGATGTTAGGTCGTGCGACGTTGGCCGACTGTGGTGCCTCGAAATGACGTAGAAGGCTGACGTGGAATGCGTCATGAATTTTCCAGTCGTCCGGAAGCAGTAGTTTCGTGAGATGTGTCACCATCTGGACGATGCAAAATGGTCCCACGTATCGGGGGCGGATTTTCGCAGGCTGGGACAGGCGAATAATTTTAGTATCCAGGAGAAACATCTGTCCCGGACGGAAGAGTACACCCCGACGATGTTTGTCCGCATTGCGACTGCCAGCAGTGTTAGCTTTTCGGACCTAATCTGCTGCTTCGTTGCGGGTGTCAGAACTATATTGTAGGCTGTAGTGGGGCACTCCTTATGGGGTACAGTAGTGTTAGGGTTTACTACTTGTACTCCTCATGCTGCTAAATGCATCCATTCCTCGTTCTTATTCTCACATGGTATTAGAGCAGAATCGTTCCTAGGGCCCACCGAACGTTCCGCCCTGCCCTAACTGATTTTTTTTATTTTTATTTTAGCTGCCCCTGCAGCCGCGCTGTCCTTGCAGCCCGCGTGCTGCCCCTGCGACCGTGCTGCCCCTGCAGCCGTGCCTGCCCCTGCAGCCGTGCCTGCCCCTGCAGCCGTGCCTGCCTCTGCATCCGTGCCTGCCCCTGCAGCCCGTGGGCGCTGCCCCTGCAGCCAGCGCGCTGCCCTGCCGAGCCGCGTGTCGCCCGTGGGCGCAGCCTCTGCCCTGCCGAGCCGCGTGTCGCCCGTGGGCGCTGCCTCTGCGACCCTCGCGTCGCCCCCCGCTGCCCCGTCGCGCCGCCCTGGGGAGCTGCGCGCGGCCCCCGCTGCCCCGTCACGACGCCCTGGGGAGCCGCGCGCGACCCCTCGCTGCCCCGTCGCGACGCCCTGGGGAGCCGCGCGCGACCGCCGCTGTCCCGTTGCGACGCCCTGGGGAGCCACGCTCGGCCCCCGCTGCCCCGTCGCGATGCCCTGGGGAGCCGCGCTCGGCCCCCTCTGCCCCGTCGCGACGCCCTGGGGAGCCGCGCGCGACCCCCCGCTGCCCCGTCGCGACGCCCTGGGGAGCCGCGCGCGGCCCCCGCTGCCCCGTCGCGGCGCCCTGGGGAGCCGCGCGCCGTCTCCCGCGCTGCTGCCCGCGCTCGTGCCACGCCCTGTAGCAGCTGCCGCGGAGCCCCCTGCCGCCGTCACGGCCCCGCCCTGCAGCAGCTGCCGCGGAGCCCCCTGCCGCCGTCACAGCCCCGCCCTGCAGCAGCTGCCGCTGAGCCCCCTGCCGCAGTCGCGGCCCCGCCCTACAGCAGCTGCCGCGGAGCCCCCTGCCGCCGTCACGGCCTCGCCCTGCCGCTGTCACGGCGCTGCCCTGCAGCTGTCGTGGCCCCGCCGTTGCCGCCGTCGTGCGCCTACCCTGCTCGCCCGGCGAGCGACTGCCCTTCCCGCCACTGGTGAGCACTTGCGCCTGCCTTACTAGCGCGCTGCCGCGCCGGCCTGCCTGCCTGCTTGCCGCGCCTACCTGCCAGCCGAGCCGCGCCGCCCAGCTGAGCCGAGCCGCTCAGCGGCGCCGAGCCGCCCAGTCGAGCCGTGTCGTGCTGCCGGGCTGTGCAGCCCTGCTCTGCAGAGCCGCACTGCCCTGCCCGCGCTACTACTGCTGCTACTGCTGTTACTGCTGCTACTGCTACTACTGCTGCTACTGCTGCTACTGCTGTTACTGCTGCTACTACTGCTCCTGCTGCTCCTGGCGGTGGCCAGATGCAGCTCCAGCGACGTCCGCGTGAGTCCCTCACGCCCCAGCAGCTTCGTGAGTGGTACGCTAGTTGGGGTTGTAGGGGTGGCCGCGCTGCTACTGCTGCTATTGAGCTCGTAAGATCCCGACCTTAGTTAATGGGCCCACCATTCCCGCTTGCTGCTGCCCGTAGACCCGCCCATAGATCGTAATTCTGTTTCTTTTTTTTCCCATGGCGTGCGCGGCTTATGGCGAGCACGCCCGCAAAATCGCCGACGGACCCGCCAGCGCGCTCGTCAGCAAGTCTGCCGGAGGACCCGCCGGCGCGAGCGTCAGCAAGTCCGCCATCGGACCCGCCGGCGCGCGCATCAGCAAGCCCGTCGACGGACCCGCCAGCGCGCGAGTCAACAGGCCCGCCGACGAACCCGCCGACAGGCTCGTCACCGAACCCGCCGAAGGACCCGCCAGCCAACGAACCAGCAACCCCGCGGACCCGCCAGTAGGTGAACCAGCGAATCCGCGAGCCCGCCAGCAAGCAAGTCGACGGACCCGCCGTCAGACCCCCCAGCAACAGCACGCGCACCAGCGACGCCAGCGGCACCTGCAGTCCTTGCCGCCGTCCCCGTCGCCTCCCGTCGCCTCCTCTTTTCCCGTCGTGGCCCCTTCTCGTCACCCCCTGTCACGGCCATTCCCGTGTGCACAAACAATCGCAGTGGGGGATGAGAGGGATGGGGGAAGGGCGTGGCGGGACCGCCAGCAGAGACACCGCCGCAGAGACCCCCGCCAGCAGCTACACCGCCAGCAGAGACCCCCGCCAGCAGCTACACCGCCAGCAGAGACCCCCGCTAGCAGCTACACCGCCAGCAGAGACCCCCGCCAGCAGCTACACCGCCAGCAGAGACCCCCGCCAGCAGCGCCACCGCCAACAGAGACCCCCGCCAGCAGCTACACCGCCAGCAGAGACCCCTGCCAGCAGCGCCACCGCCAGCAGAGACCCCCGCCAGCAGCTACACCGCCAGCAGAGACCCCCGCCAGCAGCTACACCGCCAGCAGAGACCCCCGCCAGTGCCGCCGTGAGAAGGAGCAGAACTGCCGCCTCCTCTTCCTCTCGCTCCTGCCGTTGGGGGGGGGGGGGGGGGGGGCTGAGGGGGTGGCGGTAAGGATCTGCAGGGACTGCTGTGGGTGGGGCAGGGGTGTGGAGGAAGAAAAGGGGGAAGGGGGTGCGGTCCCAGGGGGCGGCTGTTATGGGGGGTGAGGTTAAGGGTGGGTGGTTGAGTGGGTGTGGGGATTTGGGGGTTACTAAGAGGGGTTTCGCCGCGCTTGGCTCCCCCTCAGCTCCTCTCTTCGTCACTCTCTCACCTCCCCACTTTGTAAAAGGGGGTTACTACGAGGGTTTCGCCACGGGTGGCTCCCCCTCAACACCTCGCCTCATCCCTCTCTCACCTCCTCGTTCGTACTTCTCTCCTTTCCTCTCCTCTCTCTCTCTCGCCTCCTCCTCCTCACTTACCCCTCTGCCGTCTTCCACTGCGCCAGGTGTACCCCTTCAGGGGGTGTTGACTGCACTAGTTATTACTGCAAGCAGGCTAAGGGGGTGTGTTAAAGTTATATTTATTATCTATCATGCTTGCTGTAGTTATTGTAGTGTAGTTCTTTCATTCCTTGTTTGGTGGTGCACTTTCTTTGTTTCTTTGCTATATGTTCTTGCAAACCTATAGTGAAGACACCCAAAAAATTCTCAAAAAAAAGAAAAAAGAAAAAAATAGGTCGTTCTCGACCTAGCTCTGATACCATGTCAAGATACTAACGTAAGGTTTAGGGCCTAGGCTTAGTAGCCTAGGCCAACGTATGTCGAGAGAGTTTGTGCCAAGCGAGAGTGAGAATGGATGGTTTCACTATAGAATGTGAAGAACATATAGTGAACAAGCAAAGGTGCACCACGAAACAAGCAAATATATAACTACACTAACTCTAACTACAAACAATTATATAAACTATGCAAAACATAGTTTGACACTGCTACTATTGCTGCTACTGCTGCTACTGCTATTACTGCTGCTACTACTGCTCCTGCTACTCCTGGCGGTGGCCAGATGCAGCTCCAGCGACGTCCGCGTGAGTCCCTCACGCCCCAGCAGCTTCGTGAGTGGTACGCTAGTTGGGGTTGTAGGGGTGGCCGTGGTGGGAGTCGCCCTGGAGCGGGTCGTTCGGGAGCTTCTTGTAGTGACCAGGTGCAGCTGCAGCAGCGTCCGCGCGCGGTCCTTTCGCCCCAGCAGCTTCGTGAGTGGTACGCTCAGAGTAGAGGGTCACGGAGTACTGCTCGCTGCCCGTACGTCATTCGCACTGGTGCTCGGGCTGGTCAGCCTTGCGGGACGGTTGGTCACACAGAGTCCCGCTGCTTCGCCAGTCTGAGCGACGCCTGGCGTACAGAGTTTGGAGACGACGCTGAGCTCCCCTCCTGGCTGGAGCTGCTTAGGCAGAGGGTAGATATCTTTGCTCTTGACTATGATGCTATCCTCACTGCCATGTATGCCTTGCCTACTAGTGCTGAGGGTGCCTGTTACCTGTGTGTGCCGCCTGACCCAGGTATAGAGTCCACTGCTCTAGGTGCTGGTGGGGCTGCTGCTCTAGGTGCTGGTGCGTCTCCTGCTCCAGGTGCCAGTGAGGCTGCTGCTCTAGGCGCTAGTGAGTCCACTGCTCCAGGTGCTGGTGAGTCTGCTCTCTGTGGTACTGCGCCTGCTGCGGCCTTGCAGACTTTCACCCTTGACTCGGGTGCTTCCCGCTCCTTCTTCCGCGACTGCACCACACTGTCGCCGCTCAGTCGGCCAGTGGCAGTCTCTCTGGCTGACCCCTCTGGGGGTCCGGTCCTTGCACACTCCTCCACGGTCCTGCCGTGTTCGGCGGTCCCGTCTGGCTCTCTGTCTGGCCTCCACCTCCCCTCGTTCTCCACGAACTTGGTGAGTGGAGCCGACCTTCAGGACGCGTGGGTTGACCAGTTCACTCCTGGAGGTCAGCGGGTGACCCACTGTTCGTGTACTCGGACGGGCCGGCACCTGGCCACGTTCACCCGTCAGCCTGGGTCGAGCCTGTACACCCTGACTACCGTGTCTCCTCCGGTTGCTGCGTCTGGTCAGGTAGCCGCGTCCGGTCAGGTGTTTGCTGCAGTGTCCCGGTCTGGTCCTGAGTCTGCCCCCTGCTCGTGTCGCCTCCTGTCTCACCAGACTCTCCTCTGGCACCACCGCCTTGGGCACCCCTCCCTGCCTTGTCTCCGAGGCATGGCCTCCCGTGTCCTTGTCACTGGTCTTCCCCGGTCTCTCCCTCCCCTTCCCCCGGGGCCTGCCCCTACCTGCGTTCCTTGCGTCGAGGGGCGGCAGTGCGCCGCTCCTCACTCCTCCGAGTTCCCTCCGACGGAGGCTCCCCTGCAGACGCTTCACATGGACGTGTGGGGCCCAGCCCGCGTCCGTGGCCAGGGTCACGAGCGCTACTTTCTGCTGGTCGTTGACGACTACTCGCGTTACACCACAGTCTTCCCCTTGCGCTGCAAGGGTGAGGTGACTGAGGTGCTGATCGACTGGATCCGCGCTGCTCGTCGTCAGCTCATTGAGAGTTTCGGCGCGGACCTTCCTGTTCTGCGTCTGCACTCCGACAGAGGTGGAGAGTTTTCCTCCGACCTCCTGCGAGCCTTCTGTCGTGCGGAGGGCATCAGCCAGACGTTCACGCTTCCGGCCTCTCCGCAGAAAAATGGGATTGCTGGGCGCCGCATTGGCATGGTCATGGATGTCGCTCGTACGTCCATGATCCATGCGGCTGCTCCCCATTTTCTGTGGCCTTTCGCGGTTCAGTACGCGGCGCATCAGCTCAACCTCCAGCCCCGGGTCTCCATGCCGGAGACCACACCTACTCTGCGGTGGACGGGGAGGGTTGGCCGTGCGTCTGCGTTCCGTGTCTGGGGATCTCGAGCTTTCGTCCGCGACTTGTCTGCGGACAAGCTGTCCTCTCGTGCTGTTCCCTGTGTCTTCCTTGGCTTCCCCCCTGACGCGCCTGGTTGGCAGTTTTACCACCCCACCTCGCGCCGTGTTCTGTCCTCTCAGGACGTCACGTTTGACGAGTCGGTTCCCTACAACCATCTCTTCCCCTACCGCACTGCCCCCCGCCGCTCTTCCTTGCGCCAGGTCCCCCCCCGGTAGACCCCCTCCCCCCTCAGGGTCCTGCCCCCTCAGGTGTGTCCCAGGTAGACGCAGTCGAGCCTGTCGAGGTAGCTGTTGACTCTGGTGCTGCTAGGAGTGCTGAGCCTGCGGGTGCCGGGTCTGGGGGTGCTGCGCCTGGGGGTGCGGAGCCTTCGGGTGCTGAGCCTGGGGTTGCTGAGTCTGGGGGTGCTGAGACGGGGGGTGCTGAGCCTGGGGTTGCTGAGTCTGGGGGTGCGGAGCCTGAGGGTACTGAGCCTGCGCGTGTGGAGTCTGGAGGTGCTGAGCCTGGCGGTCCTTTGGGTGCTTCGTCCCGTCGGGAGCCACTCTCTCCACAGCAGCTGCGTGAGTGGTTTGCTCGGCGCTGGAGCCGTGCTGCAGGAACTGTTGGTGCTACGGGCGCTGGAGGTCCTACTACTGCTGGAGGTCCTGCTGCTGCTGGAGCTGCTGGGGGTTCTGGAGCTACGGGTCCCGGAGGTGCTCGTACTGGAGGTACTGGAGCTGCTGGGCCTGGAGGTGCTGCTGGAGCTGGAGCTGCTGGAGGTGCTGGAGCTGGCGCTGCTGCTGGAGCAGGTGCTGCTGGAGGTACTGGAGCTGGAGCTGCTAGCGCTGCTGGGACTTCTGGTGGTCCTGCTGGGGCTGGAGCTGCTGGGGGTGCTGGAGCTGGAGGTGCTGCTGGAGCCGGTTCTCCTGTGGGTGCTGGAGTTGGCGCTTCTGGTGCTGCTGGAGGTCCTGCTGGAGCTGGTGCTCCTACTGGAGTTGGAGCTGCCACTGGGGGTGCTGGTGCTGTCCCTGCTGGTTCTGGAGGCGCTGCGCGGCCGCGACCGTACTACGTTCCGCTCCTGCAGCAGGTTCTTAGTCTTCCGCTTTCTACTGAACCTGCTCCTTTCTTAGAGTGTCCATCGCCTCTCCAGTCGCAGTCACAGTTGCAGCCCGCCTCCCCACTGCCTGCTCCTTCTCCTTACACTGGTCCGACCGGAGGTCTTGCTGAGCGTCGTGAGCCTGCGTCTCGTCCTGCGTCGCCTGTTCGTACTGCTAGCACTAGTCGTCGTGGTTTGCGTCAGCGTCCTCCTCCTGTCCCTGGCACGCACCGGATGGCTCTGCGCCCTTCCACTGCTCCGCAGCGTGTCCCTCTGCCGTCTCCTCCTGCGTCCTCTCTTCCTGCCCTTTCTGACACGGAGTCTGACTCCCTTCATGCTGCTAGTCCTACTGTCACGCGTCTCCTGGCCACTGTTGTCACTGACCCTTCTTTTGAGTCCACTGCTGCGTCTGCCTTAGTTGCTGAGCTTGTCGACTTTGCTGCTCACTGTCGTCTCGACTATGCCGCTAGTCTTGTTGCTGAGTCTGAGTCTGTCTGTCCTCCGTCCGTCGGGGGTGAGTGTGCTCTTGGCACGGACGTCCTTGAGGACAGGTAGGAGGACTTTGAGTGCTTTGCAGCCGCTGTACCTCATCTCGTGTCCATGCTGATTGCACCTGAGGGAGACCTGGATGCACCAGACATCCCGACCACGCGCTCTTACGCAGAGGCGATAGAGGGTCCCCACTCCTCTCAGTGGCAGTCAGCCATGGACGCAGAGATGGCATCCTGGAAGTCCACAGGCACTTACGTCGACAAGGTTCCCCTTCCTGAGGCGAACATCGTCAGTGGCATGTGGATTTTCAGGGTGAAGCGGCCGCCGGGTTCTCCGCCTGTCTTCAAGGCTCGTTACGTTGCTCGAGGCTTCAGTCAGCGACAGGGAGTTGACTTCTTCCAGACCTTCTCCCCGACCCCGAAGATGACCACTCTTAGGGTTCTGCTGCACGTCGCTGCTCAGCGTGACTACGAGCTTCACTCTCTTGACTTCAGCACAGCTTTCCTACAGGGCAGCCTGCACGAGGAGATCTGGCTGCGCCGCCCACCTGGCTTCACTGGGTCGTTTCCTGCTGGTACCCAGTGGAGCCTCCGGCGGCCAGTCTACGGTCTCCGCCAGGCGCCCCGTGAGTGGCACGACACACTGAGGACTACGCTTGTGGCTCTTGGGTTTGCTCCTTCTACTGCTGACCCGTCGCTGTTTCTACGCACCGACACTTCACT